ACGTTTTTGCTTAAAAACGTTACTCTAATTGAAGTCTTTTTAGTCTAAAGACGTCATTCTAACTGACATTTTTAAAACAACTTGAGTTTAAGAAATACTTTGAGAAAAACTTCCTTTTGGGTATATTTTTGAAAACCCCCATGGGTTAGGGTAAAAGCTCATGAGTTAGTGTAAACACGTTGTTATCTTATCAATTTTTTTTTTGTTATGGTGTAAACAATATGTGATGACCCGTATAAAAAATAATCACTAACACGCTAATTTAGGTCATCAATTATGATTGTATATAACTAAGGGTTATTTTTAAAAATTTTAAATAAATAATTGGACTTTAAATATGAATTTTTTATATGAAAGCAAGTTAAATAATTATAATATAGCTCATATTTCGTGATCGTGATATAACATATGAGTAATACATTTGTTACGTATATAATATATGTCAGTATATATGTATAGATATACACAATATATATATATATATATATATATAACATTAGACATGTGGTCTATTAGGAAAAAAAAAAAGAGAATGGAAAATAAATGGACAATTGTCCATGTGATGCAAGCTAGGGGACATAAGCATGATGACTTAAGCCAATTGACATGTGATTTATAGCCAAAAACTTTGGCTATAAATAGAAAGCACTTGGCCATTGGACCGAGGCAGCAAGAGAAGAGAGAGAGAGACAGAAATGGAATAGAAGAAAAAAAATTCATGAGATTTTGGGGTCAAAAATTGAGCGGTGATTTTTCTTTAAAATTTAAGTATTTGATTCTTGGTATTTCGAATTTAATATCTATCAGAGTTATTGATGGATTTGAGGTAATAGTAGTATACAACATGCTCTTGTATTTTAAATCGCTTTACAAAGAGTGTTATTTGATTATCTGAAATTTGTATTTTTATTGATTATTCTGATCGATATAAAATTTTGTCAATTTTTATCGGTTGACTTGTACATAAGGCTAAATACTCTGGGATTGATTAGTACATATACAAAGTGTATTTGAGGCATAATTGGTAAAATGTGATTATGGTCATATGGGGTGCGATTGGGATTACAGCCCTGCAAGGTGTAATAATTTGATATGAGTATGAAATTTAAATGTCAAAGTGTTACTTGTCATGTACCAAGAAGAACCGAGTATGAGGCTATGTTTGATAGCAGTTGAGTTATGTTGCTTATTCAATGTGATTCTTGATTTCGTTATCTATAATTCTTATCATTTGAATTATTTAGTATTTGATCATTTATATTTTTCTTATTGAGCATATTGTTTCCTGCAATATTGTATATTACCCCGCTTTTAATATTTTTTTCAGAATAATCTCATAGGGAATTATCAAAGTTTATATTTGAGGAATCGTAGATGGACGAGTCTTTATATAATTTTTAACTTTGTGGGTTTATTGTGGTGATATATAATTCTTGAGGGAAGGACCAAATTTGAGGTATGAAAAAGTTCCAGATTTATAACTTTGTGAGTTTATTGGTGTGACATATAATTTGAATAGATTTGTTTATATATTGAGGAGATTATTTTTATTGTTATTTAGAGATTAAAATTGTGATTATAAGTTTATTGAGGCAATTAAAGCCCTGATTTTATATTCTGATATTTATTTATGGTTTATTGTGATCGATTGATTTAATCAAGTAACGGATCCAAAAAACTGGAGTGTTACACAATATGAATATAACATGACCCTCCTACTCTAGGATTTTTTGAGTTGCTTTTACATTCTAGTTCTCGTTCTCGCTGTTACATCCGCTCCTATTCTATATGATCGAGTGCAGCCCCTATGCTGTTGGAGACTAACAGCACACAGTGCAATTTAATGAAATGGAACCGTTTTTTTGCTTGGACCCATAACTCATTCCTTCCATTCTCCTGTACGGCGTCGTCTGAGATTTCAATCCTTCACCAAAAAAAGGCCAAAAAGCATGTTGTTTTCCACTTCATATGGAAGAGGCGTATTGCTACTCTATTATTGTACCTGTTATATCATACTTGTTATATAAAAATTTATTGGACACAAACGAATTATTTCATAATAATATATATTTAAATAATGTTTATATTTATATATCTCCATAAACATATATAAATCTTAAAAATAATTTGAGGGTAAACCCGTGCCTACCTCAACCCGTTACTAGAAACATGACGCATGAGCGGATTTGGCAAATGGCTAAGGTGGGCACGAGTCTAGCCTAGATTTTTTTAATTTTTTTTATATAAATTAGGATATATAAATATAAAAATTATTTAAATATATTTTGTGATATTTGCCCTATTATTTTTATTTTTTATTGTATTTTATGAGAATATGAGTTATGATTGGTTTTGATCAATTTTATAGTTTTAAAACTTTGTTCAATTGACTTTGATTATATATTTATGATTATTTTTTTGATTTTATAATCTTCATTTAAATGTGAAATTATCTTAAATTACTGCAATTAATTTTTTACCACTTGTCGTCTTTATATATCTATGTCTTATTATTTTTATTTTTTCATAACTTACACGTTGTTGTTAAATAAATTAAAAACAAATATCATGAGAATCCAATTGCATAAAGGAATGGATATCAATAGATGATTTATAACTTGAATATACATAGAGAAATATATATTATTGTAAAATAATTCGTTTGTGTTCAATAATTTTTTATGTAACAAGTATGATGCAATAGATACAATAATAAATACAAAAATAATAGGGTGATGAAAAAAAGAATAGATACAATAATAGGGGAACAATTGGCCTCTTACATAAGTGAAAACATATTTTGTTGGTGAATGGTTGAAATCTAAAACAACGCCGTGCAAGGGAATACGAGAAATGAGTTATGGGTCCAAACAAAAAAGAATACCGTTTCATTAAACTATACTGTGTGCAATTAGTTTCCAACAACGGGGGAACTGCGCCCCTATATGATCTAGTTTCAAATCTCTTAATCAATTTTAAACACAAACTTAAATTTGAATTAAAAAAGTCACACCAATCTTTTATTAAATTTTATACTAAATTAAAAAAATATTAAATCTTGACCCAAATCAAAACATTTATATAATTAAGTAACTAGATTTTTTTGTATTTAGCTTTTCGTGGCTCAGATTTTTTGACAATTATTGATCCGAGGATCCTAATTAAACTTAAACTCTAACAATCTCATCTCTCATTTAACTCATCTCTCTCTCTCTCTCTCTCTCTCTCTCTCTCATAGACGTTTTAAACACACACTCACTCATCTCTTTCTCACTCTCTCTCATACCTTATACATCTCGCATATAAACACATACCTTATACATCTCGCATATAACTGTCTCTCTCCTATCTCTATCTCATATGTCTTTTAAATTGAACTTAACTCTAACGTTCATCTCTCATATAACTATCTCTCTCATCTCTTAAACACACACTGACATATCTCTGTTTATTATTTGAATGTGGATGAATTAAAAAAAAATTGTATGTTTTAGAGAATGGGAAAACATTTAAATATAATTTTCTTTTACAGGTTGTATACATTATTTAGGAAGTCGGTGGAATTTCAGATAGCAAATTTATTTATTTATTTTTACAGTATTTATGAACTTAGTTTTATTATATAGATGGTTGCAATTTGTATTTCATTTGTGATGAATTTTATTTATTAGTAGCATGTTTTGTTAGTATTTCTTTGTTTTTTCTTGAGGTATTTTATTACACGGGGTGCATTGCAAATTTGGTGATTGAGTTTATAATGATGTTGTGTTATTGGGTCAATTGGTGACAATGGTGATAAATTCATACGTTTTATAAATGAGCAAAATTTTATTTATTACTTAAAAATTAAAAATTTTATTAGGTTCCGTTAGTTTTTTTTTTTTCTAAAGTATTTATATATGTAGTGTCATTTTGGAGAGTTCTTTTATATATTTTTGTGATAGTTCTATATATGAAGGATGTGCTCGACAATATATATCAAGTTATTTTAAAAGAACTGATAAGAATGTTTTTGGGCCATTTTCTTTATGAAGTTGGACAATTATTTGTAATTTTTTTATGTGTTATATAATGCCTTCATGTAGTCCTCAAATACCTTACCAGTGTTAGCGGTTGACTCCTATCTCGCAACAAGGAATGCAACTATATGTACCCACAAACAAAATTGGAATTATGTCACTATTGAAAGCAATGCATGTGCATGCAACAACTCTACACCACGTCAAAACTAATTGGTCCATCTGTAACATAGTTTAGGGCATCAAGAAAGTATCACTAATGCTATAGAAATATAATTTAGGGACTTAATATATTATTATCAATAAATTAAGAATAATGTTATATAGACTTAAAAAGTATACTTGATAATCTCAATCATTAATTTCATTATGGGTCCCAGTATTTATTGGAACCAACTACCTATTCAATGGTTGAGATTATCAAATTTAATTTTTAAGTATAGTTTTTAAGTCAATCTAACATTACTCATAAATTAATAGTGAATTGCAATTTATGTTGGAAATTACTGACAATCCAATAACCATAATCATTAAATTCTCAAATTATATAATTTCTAATAGAATTTGTATTGCAATCATTATTTAGTTGAACTTTTCTATTTGGTTAATAATCAAATTTCGTAAGTTTTGGCATTTAATATAAGCCTTGTTTGTTTAGAGGCCCTTAGATTAATATCGAACGATTCACATAAAAGGTTTCCATCAGAGGATATGATGTATAGTTTTTATGACCGTGCTAATACCGATTATTTGGATTTTGGATTGTTTTTGCTACGGACAATGTTGAAAAAAAAACCTAACAATAAACTATTCGGTCATTATAAATGGTTATAATAGATATTCTTATCTAAGCTACAAACTTTTATAGCAAATCTATAAAAGCATACAACGTTCACCACCACAGTTCATGATAATGGTGAAAAGTTACAATTTATTTTGCCGAATTCTGAATGCTCTGCTAAAGGAAAGAGTTCATGTAAGTCATGGTTCATCACCGCCGTAACCGCCACCATATCCAGACCCGTAGCCAGAGCCACTACCGTAGCCGGAACCATTGCCCCTACCTCCACCTCCTCCCCCACCACCACCACCACCCTCTCCTCCTCCTTTACCACTTCCACTTCCATATCCGGAGCCACTACCACTTCCGTAGCCAGAACCAATTCCTGTCCCACTACCACCACCTCCACCACCACCTTTGCCACCACCACCTCCGCCACCTCCACCCTTTCCTATCCCTCCTCCAGACCCGTACCCTGAGCCACTGCCAGACCCATATCCGGAACCATACCCACCAGCAGAACCGCCACCACCACCTCCACCTTCTCCTCCTCCTCCACCACCACCACTACCATATCCTTCTTTTGAACCACCATATCCCGAGCCATATCCTGAACCCGAACCATACCCTGAACCTGAACCAGGTCCAGAACCACCTCCTCCACCTCCTCCTTCTCCTCCTCCTCCTCCACCACCACCTCCTCTACCAAAGACCTCTTTTGATGATCTTGCGGCAAATGCAAGCTCCACAAAGAGCATAACCAAGAAAGCAACAGCTAGCACCTTGGAACTAGCCATCTTCAAGCTTCCAAACTTCAAATGGCTAGACTCTCTCTCCCCTGTTATGTATATATAAATGACTTTAGTATGTGTTTAACACCAATTCTATGTGACTTGTGAGGAATGGGATTAAGGGAAGGTTCCTATATATAGGCATGGTAAAGCTCAACTTTTTCAAAGTTGCATAGCTTTCTAGTAGCTTCTTCACATAGGATGATGTGTAGAAAATATGAACGTAGATATCGATAGTGGTGTTGGTGGGAGGCGGTGGCCCTATCATGGCTGTGGTGGTGGCCTGCGTGACTTCATGCAACTTATCTGTCCTCCCACTTTTGACTTGAGGCTCTGAAAAGCAAAATGAAATGAGAACAATGAGATGCTTATCACTAAATCACTTTGCCCAACTATTCACATTTGACCACCTATTGAGTGCATAAATTTTATATGCACTCAAAACTGCATGGGCATTTATCACTAGTCAATTATAGAAATAAAATAAGCAGCTCCTCTTTGTTTCCACATAAAGTTGTGGCATGTGTAGTGATCTAACAAAAGCTTTTTTAATACGCCGTCTCCGCTACGTTTCGGGGTGTGTGTTAAGTGTGTGTCTATATATATATATATAACAAATACTATTTTAGGAAATTTTTTAAAACTTAGAAGAAGTAACCATATTGTTACAATGTTCACAAATATTATAGCTAAGGACCTTGAGCCCTAAAATGCAAAGAGTAATATAAACAGAACTTATTTTATTGCTAACATTGAATTGATTGCAAATCTCAATATTTAATAGGCCGGATCTACTATTAGTTCAACAACAACAATTAATAAGATCAATACATTAGGTCAAATAATGTTATTGACATGCAGACAGTGGGCGATTGAAATACCGCTTAACCTAAACAGTCGTTGTTGTCTATCAATAAACATGGCATGGTTTGAGCTCAATTGCATGAAAATTTTGTACTCATTTTGTGGATGGAAACATTTTCCTTTTCATCCTATGCCTTCCTAATAAATCCTTTTTCTTTTTAATATTGTGTATACATAGACAGATGTCAAATTGTAAAAATAGAAAAAAAGGAATAGAAAACACGTGTGCCCTATCATGGTCATTTGTGCTACAGATTTTGACATGTTAGTTTTGGAAAAACCTTAAAAATTCAAGGCCACAACCACGCACTAACTCAGTAACCCAAATTCCCTATCAAAATCTCAGGACTTTAGTGGGGTTTGTCTTCTTTGCTTCATATATATTTATTCTTGGAATGACAATTGGCATTCACTTTCTCTACTTTGCTTAGGTGGCCATGTGCAACACAATGGTCTCATCACAACGACCTGAAAATATTCAATGTAATGGTGACCCGCATTATCATTACCATATAGTATCACAGTTGAATAAATGAATAATAAGTGGACAAGTGAATATTACACAATTTAATACCTATCCTTTCATGCAATGAGCTTTTACCCAACCCATGGGGCTTTTCAAAAATATATCCAAAATATTATAGTTTTCAAATTATTTCTCAAACTCATAAAGTTTTGAAAATGTTATTCAAACTGATGTTTTTAGAGAACAATACATCAGTTAAAATAACATTTTTCTGTAAAAACGTTGTTCGAACAAATTTCTTTAAAATTTTTTTTTTTAAAAGTCAAATAAAACGTTGGTTGAACCAACATTTTTATTGTTGCTATCTGGCTGGCCCCTTTCTCTTTCCCTTCTGCCTTCCTTTCTCCAAATTACCTCATTTGAAATTTGAAATCATAGAATCCATTCCACCACGAGCAACACCACCACCAAGGCCACAGCCCCACCACCACCACCAACCGAAACCACCACCATCACTATTACACAAGCCCAGCACCACCAACATCGGAAACCCACAGCCCCTGCACCACCACCATCGGAAACCCCTATCCCCAACACCCCCAAACCCCCATACCCAGCACCACCACCATCCGAAATCACCCAGACCCACAACCACCACCATCCCAGCCTAATCCTAGCCCAGTCGGTGATTTCTTCAACTAGGTATGAGTTTTTTTTTCTTCTTGAAGTCCATTGAACAAAATGTGCTACATCTAATGTATTGTTATTCAATACTTTATTATTTAGATAGTTTTTTTGTTACAAGTGCATTGTGTTTAATGTAATTAACATCTTAGAAAAATGCACAGAATCATTAGCACTGTATTAGGACAATATGGTGATGACTTCAGTATGGAATTGTCGTGTTACTTTCATAACTTTTTCACCTTATGGTGAAAAGGAGATTTGTTGTTTGTTGTCATTGCATTGAAAAATCAGAAGAGTTGAAATGCAAAAAAAGAAAAAAAAAAAAAAAAAAAAAAAGAAAGAGGATGGAAGAGGAGAGAGGCGAGGGGGAGGGGGAATGGTTGCTTTGAAATAGTGGCGGAACCACTCAAATAGAGTTCACGATGAACTCATTAGTCCATAAAAAGAGCCCTAGAGCTCAGTATGAACTCATTAGTTTATAAAAAGAGCCTTAGAGCTCACGATGAACTCATTAGTTCATAAAAAGAGTCTTAGAGCTCACGAAAAACTCATTAGTTCATAAAAAAAGATTTAGAGCTCACGATGAACTCGTCAGTTCATAAAAAGAGCCCTGAAGCTCACAGAGAACTTACCCGTTAATAAAGAAATCCCTGAACTCACGATAAATTTATCGGTTCATAAGAAGAGCTCAGAATGAACTTACTAATTCATTACAAAGAACGATGAACTCATCGGTTCATGATAAGAACCTTAGGGTTCGCGATGAATTCATCAAAAGAGTTATGGAGCTTAGAAACATCAGAGATTACAAAACAAAAGACTTCTTCAAATCACAAATCGTCCACGATATGCAGCAAATATGGGAAAGTTGAGGTTTTTAGAACATCAACAGTTACAAGGAATCAATCAAAGCAAAATTCCTAGTCGTCTCTCCAACTGAATTATCCTCTCCTTCAGACGAAGGTTCTCCTCTTTCAGCTCATCCCTTTCCTTCTCAGCTGATGAAAGAAGATCCATCAGTTTTTGCCCAGCAGCGGAGAACAGAACTTCCCCCAGGCTAGAGTCTGAGGTAGGGGAGGAAGAACCATCCCTCTTGCGCCTCTTCGAAGGAGCTCCAGTGTCTTCGTTCTTATCAGATTCTAAAGAAAAAGAGTCGGGTTCAGGAAAAAAGGAAAAGTCTCGCTCAGCTGCAGCAGCACTAAACAAGTATAGATTGTTTGATATCATGAGCTCAGAAAAGGACATGGGCTCAGCTTGGGTCATTAGTTATGTTCTCATCAATTCAAGCAAGTTCAGGTCAAGAACACTTGTACATCAAAAAAAAAAAAAAAACAAGATAAGTAGATAGCATCATAAAAATTTGATCCCAAGAGAGGGACCCTCGTCACTCTCACCTAGGTAAGAATAGCCCTTCCAGGATTGAGGGACTCTACACTCCCTAGTGCCCACCTCGGAAGACCTCCATGAGTCATCCGAAGTAAAGAAAAAGCGTTGGGCCCATCCCGAAGGAGGAGAGGGAAGATCAAACACTAAGCGACGTAGCCTGAAGTCTCTCCACCGAAGTCTCTCCACCGAAAGCGGACGAAGCATGGAACTTCATCCTCCTCAATGTCAAAATAGTAAAGAAATTCTGTAATCGTAGGAAACTCGTCATTACCTCGCAGAGACTAGAAGAGGAAGAAACTGGTCATGACAGTCCATCCCATAGGTGAAAGACGAGAGAGACACAAGCCGATATAGGCCAAAATAAATCCAATAGAAGGGTGAATGGGAAGGCACAGACCTAACTCCAAAGCTGCTTCAAAGAAGCACGTCTCCCCTAGAAGAAGGTAATTACAGGGTTCATCGGAGCTTGAAGCACGTAGAGGTAAGTCTAAATCAAGAAAGAATTTCTTCTTTATCCTCTCTAAATCGAAGGACGTCAATACTAGGGGAACAAAGTAGCGAGTATGCCACATCCACTCAACCTCAAATGAGGTTCGCTCTTGAAACAGAGCAGAAAAGAGGACAGACATAGTGGACTCAGGCGAAAAAGAAAAGAGAATGAGATATAAGGCGTTAAGCCCTCAAGAATAACAAAGGGATACCCGGAGGGAAGTGATAGTCAGTACTTATAGAAATACATTGAAGACCCCAGATTTTTAGGAAGTTGTTAATTACACAAGACCTTAAGTCGGTGTGCCCCTAGGTTTCCAAATTAAGGAAGCAGCAACCTTTTTTGGTAGGAAGGATATGCATTGAAAGCAAACATCAACGACACCCCAGGATAAAAACAAGCAGACCTCCAAGGAGAGGTCCAGAGCATAAAAGAAAGGTCAAAACAAAACCTTACATATCAAGAGGTCAACAAGTCGAAAATGAGGAAGTCAATGCACTCAAGCAGCTACATCTATGCATGCTCTTCCAGGTTGTCACCTTGCGTGTGCTCCATGGCAGTATATGACCTCGGAACATCGAAACCACTGGACAGAGCATGATTATAAGCACTGCACTTCACCTAATCAAATCTGTTGAACTCACGAGCAGAAAAGAGAACCTAACCAATGGCTACACGTGCACATGACTCCTAAGGTTTACCAAAGGGCCCCCTCGAGCCAACTCAGAGGTTATTTAGCCCAGGAGCAAATCAGCTACGCAAGTCAGCAAATGGAAGCTCCTTAAGGGATGAGGTAAGGTCAGAGCTCTGGTGGTCAGTTGCTAGAGTTCAGACAGAAGCAGGTTAAGAAGCTCGAAGCTCAACTAGGCACATCAGCAGTTATTCCTAACTTTTTTACTTCAAGGAGATCTGAATGACCCCCTGAAGCAAAGGGGGCAAAGAGTTGAGGAATATCATATTCGATTGATGGTAGAGTAGAGCAACAAATTAAAAGCAAAGTGAAAGAAGGAGAGCTATAAGCAGTACCAACAAATTAAAAGCAAAGGGAAAAAAGGAGAGCTATAAGCAATAAATTAAAGATACAAAATGCTACAATTCTGAAATTTTTGTTTC